AGGAATGGGCTCATAAGGCCTTGGGGATCTCTGCCCCTGTGGCTTTGCAGGGTACAGCACCTTTGGCTGCTTTCACAGGCCGGTGTTGAGTGCCTGCAGCTTTTCCAGGATCACAGTGCAAGCTGTTGGTGGATCTACCATTCTGGGGTCTGGAGGATAGTATCCCTTTTCTCACAGCTCCACTAGGCAGTGCTGCAGTGGAGACTCTGTGTAGGTGATCCAATCCCACATTTCCCCTCTTTACTACCCTAATAGGGGTTCTTCATATGAGCCCTGCTCTTGCAGCAGACTTCTGCCTGGTCAAAGTCATTCAACAAGTCTCTAGGAAGTTTCAAACTCTCCCTCAACTTCTTGTCTTCTTCTGAGCCTTCCAAAACTGTTCCAACCTCTTCCCATTACCCAGTCCCAAAGCTGCTTCCGCAGCTTTAGACGGCCAAAGCTCTGCCCCTTAGACATCCTATAAGATATTGTGAGCAGCATTTGTTGTCCCAGAGTGAAGTGGAAAGAAGCAAGTAACTCTTTGGAAGGGATCATAAATGGGAAGAAAGAAGAATCAGTTCAGACCCAGGTGAGTTTTCCATCAATGCCTACTTCGAGGATTTCTTATTTTCCTTCTCATTTCTGAGGAAACTTATCTCTAGGTTACAGCTTTTTAACTTTCCCCCTTCTTGATAATTCTCTTTAAATAATTTTATCATATTATTATCATTTTATGATATATAATTAGATATTATTTGTTATATTGTGTTTATACTTATTAGTATATATGTATACATTTCCCTTTCCTTACCTTTTTCGTAAAGAAAATATGTACCCTTGTACATCCAGGGGCAGGAGTTTTAGGGAGAATGAAGGGTTAGGGTGGCTTTCTCTGCTCCACCTCTTGGTTAATCCTAATGGACAGGGAGTAGTAGCCCATGGTGGTGGTTGGAACCGGGGAGCTGGCCAGCAGGAACCAGCAGGGCAGTGACTGGGTAGTTGAGAGAGGCTCTCAGAATGACACAAAAGGGTACATAAACAGATAATTTAGGACAGGGAGTAAGGTTAAGAAATAGCATTTTTATTTTATGCTAGAAGAATTGCATATCTGAAATGTAGAGAAGCTGACACTTGGATTATACAAGGTTAAATATTGGCCCTCTGATATGGTTTGGCTCTGTGTCCCCACCCAAATCTCATCTCTTAGCACCCATAATCCCCACGTGTTGTGGGAGGGACCCAGTGGGAGATGATTGAATCATGGGGGCGAGTCTTTCCCATGTTGCTCTCGTGATAGTGAATGGGTCTCCTGAGATCTGATGGTTTTAAAAACAGGAGTTTCTCGGCACAAGCTCTCTCTTTGTGCCTGCCACTTGTTCCTCTTTGCCTTCCACCATGATTGTGGAACTGTGAGTTCTCCATTAAACCTCTTTTACTTGTAAATTGCCCAGTCTTGAGTATGTCTTTATCAATAGCATGAAAATGAACTAACACAGCCTCTAAAGGAGTTAGGGGGAAAGTAAAGATAAAACAAAACAGAAAATATTTTGAGTTTTTGTTTTGTTGCTCATGCTATCCAAAGAGAAAAGATAAGAAAATCTGTTATTTGGTGTGTGAGGTGGTTCTTCTGAAGCAAACACTGTAAAAGACAAAGTTAAACAGGCAAAAATGATTTTATTTAAGGTTATTGCAATCAGGAGGAGAGGCCAGAACTCAGCCTGAACTCAAGTCACTGAAACAAAGGAAATGGGAGGGTTTTTAAAGGTTAGGGTGAGCTAATGCCAACTACTGGAGGATATTAGGGGGGAATCATAGGCCATCTGTGTTTGCTAATTGGCTTAATCCAAAGCAAAAATAAGCTCATATCTTTATGATAGGAGGTGTTTTTGCAAATTGGAGCAAGCTGCTTACCACCCTCAAAGGTAGCTCTGTACACTCCTTCCACAGAAACTAGTAGATACAGGCACTATTTGCCTTAATGATTACATTTCAAAGGGACGTCCCCCAGGCCACTGAGAAAGACAGTCCTGGGTTGTTAAACTGGCAAGAGGCTTCTAAAAGGATTAAGAGCTCAAATGGATATATAAAGAAATTAGAGTTACATATTCTAAAGTAAATGCTCCACAAAAAAGGAGGTTAGGGGCCTAGAGTTAAGAAGCTTATCTACAGTTCAGTTGAGCCCAGTGGAAGGTTAAGGCCATAAAACCATCTTGGTCAGTCCAAATAACTGGTTATCCAAACCAATGGTTAAGACCAGTGCAGAAGAATGTACAAGTCTGGTTAATGCTATCCTAGGGCTTCCCTAAAATCTTTGAGAAGCAGAAGGCTTAATCCTACAGCCTGGATGGGACCGATTATTTGCGTGGTATCTAGTGGGTTTTCTGTGAGGGATAAAGCATTGTTGCCACTTATCAGTACTGTGGTGGAAGTATACTTGGTCATCAGAATGAGGTGGACTATGAAAGTTCTAACCATTGGGCAGTGGAGCTGAGACTTTCTGCAGAAGGACAGTAGTAGAGCCTTAGATCAATCCTGTGACACCAGAAGATTTTGCATCCCTGAAAGGTGATAAGAATCTACTCTGGACAACAGGAGGAGGCAATGGGTTTTGAAGATGTGGGTTTGAGGTGAAATTGGAACACATAAATTGAATTACTTCACAGCTAGGGAGACTGGAATTCAGTGAGAAAGCCCTAAGCTGTAGTTTTTGGAATTAGATTGGGTGTAATAGATGATGACAAAACCATAGACTAAGGAGTCCCTGAGGGAGATATAATCCTTTAATCTTACTTATTGTCTTCTCCCAATGTTAGTTCAACTGAAACTTGGGGGAGTTTGGAAGAAATAAAGATATTCTAGCCTTAATTCTTTCCTGCAGCACTTGGTTTTCCTCTGTGTGCTTCAGGATTAAGCAATGTTTATAGACATCCCTCTGTTATCTTGTTTTGCATCTATTAAATAGAGCCATAATATGCAATTCTCTTTATCTTAGAATATTTTCCTTCAATTTTACATAGTTAAAATATTGGATTTGTGGCATTTTATTTTTTGATTCCTCAATGACAAAGGGGTCATCATTAATACCTAATGTCACAAGATTCAGAAAACACAAATATTGGAAATTTCCTCCTCAAGTCTGCTTTCCTTGAGTAATTATTTGTTTAATGGCTTTTCCTGTAGTGTGTCTAAGCTCCATTAGGGTAATGATGATGCCAATAGTTTTCACAGCTGTACTTCCAGGGCCCCTCACAGTTCCTGACAAATCAGAATCCCAGACTGTAGAAGGCCTACGGGAACTCACCTTATGAGTGATGCTCTGCTAATAAAACTTGCAGCAAAACAAAGTAAAAAAATGTAAATTATTTATTCTCAGATGGGAAGTAATTTCACACTTATTATTTTTGAATGTCATAAAATGAGTCCGTGGCTTTGAATTTACAACACTCACATCCATATAGTGGCTGAGAAGAAGCCAAATTAAAATAGCATTTATTGGGTGGCTTATCTGGCTCAGTTTTCAAAGCTGTTTAAGTGTTTGTTCAATTAAACCTCCAAAGAGCACTTGATGGAATGTGTGATTACCCAATAGTGCAAATGGGAAAATTCTGTAGTCCAGATAGAAGAAATTACTTTCCAAGTTGACAAAACATTATAATTTGATGTTCCGTTTCTGTGTTCAGAATCCTTTCTAAACAACAGGATGCATCTACCTTTCCAAACTGGGGAGCAAATGATTTACTCAGGAAGATAACAGGGTGTTTTCAAAATATTTCATATAAGTATGGAGCCCAAAATTACAAATATGGAGCCCAAAAATTGGATGAAAGCCACCACCTGTCTCATATTGTAGGTGACATAAGTTCTTTCTGGAAGTTTTCAGTGGGTTTATTTACAGGCATTTATTAAAATGAAACATTAAAAGACAAATTAATTGAGGTAAATAAAAATGTGCCTATGCTAGCACAATTAATAACAATAAAAATTGGCATCAATCTAATTGAGCAACAATTAAAGAATATTAGTATAATTAAAATCTATATAAGTGATGAAATTTGAGACCAGACATCTAAATTCATATTCAATATAATTATATTTAGAGATCAAGAAAATGTAATAGTGCATTTCTAAGTGAAAAAATAATATATATTATAAAAGTTGAATATTATAATAAAACATATATGTACATGTGTGATTATGTATATATATTAAAACTAGAAGAATATAATTATTTATATATTTATATATATTTAATAGGTACCTCTGAGCTGTGAGATTTTACACCTTTTAATTTTATTTGAATATTTTTTGTTTTGTATATTTCTATTTCATTTTGTATGTTTCTGTTTTTTTTATATTTCTATTTAGCCATTTCTATTGGTATGTTTCTACTTGCTCCACCTCCCTCCCTTTTTTGTATATTTCTATTTTATAAATTTTCTAAGTGAGCATATATTTTCTTTGTATAAAAAAAATAGCTTTTTACAGAAGGAATGGTAGAGGCCAGAAGTTCAGATAACAGGAGGAACTTAGCTACAATAACATATCTTCCCTTTTAAAATGGCAAAGGCTCTGGGTTACTACAGGCACAAGGCTGGATCTACTGCAAATGGTATCCAAGGATGTCAATCTGTCACTGCAACCTCCTGTACCAGCCTTCTCTTTCTTAGATGTTTCCACACGTTTTTTCATTCTGGTCCTAATACTGGTCCTGGTCCTGATACTAATTATTGTTGTGAAACATGTTATATTCTTTCTGCTTGCTCTCTCCTACTGTGGTATGTTTTCTCACACGACTGACTCTCTTGAATTGCCTGCTAACGGCTGCCCTTTCCAGTGATCTGTTCTAACCCCTCTCAGGTCTTCCCCTGCTGAGGTTTGATGCAATCTGAAAGATGAATCTCCAGGGCCTGCTCAGTCCAGCACACCATGCCTCAGTGACTTTTCTCTCCTACGCAGCAGTTACTCTAGTTCCTCCTGGGGCCCTAGTACATGCTTCTTAAAATGAGCACATTATATTCCTCTTCCTTTTCTCTTCTTTCTGAGGTGGGTCAGCTGTGGCATGAGGGATGGAGAGAGTGGGCCTCTGTGTTTTGCTTTAGCTTTCTGGCTGCAGCTGAACTTCTATTGTTCCTGTTCCACTTCTGGAGGAACCCAGGGAAAATATCAGGATGAGATGGGGGTGTGTTTAGCCAAACATGGTGTCCCAGATTGTGCCAGGAGTAGGCACGGTAGGCAACCTTGCATAGTGTGCAAAGAACTTCAATCATCCTGAGAGTAGAATACTCTGGCTACATTTTAATGTCTTAAGTAACACCTGTCACATCATAGCATATCAGCAGAGTTTATGTAAATTATCCATTGATACGTGTTGCAGACAGAGATAAAAGCCTAGAGAACATATGGAAAGACCAGGATACTTTTGTAGAATTAGGAATGGAGGAACAGTTAAATGTGGCCCTTGGTCAGACCCCGGAAACTGCAGATACCATTCTCTGGGGTCAGAAATGTTGCTACAAGGAAAGTCCATCCCGAGGGAGTATTTCCTCACTGACTTTTCCCATTCTGTGTCTGGATTAAAATAACTGTGGGACCCCAGTGAGATGGCAGAGAATGATTTTTCTCCTTGTGAATGTCCTCAAAGAGTCTAGGATTCAATGTCAGATAGCCAAGCCAATGTCTCAGTATAGCCAGGAATGCCTGAATCATCAGAAATTTTTGTCTTAATCCAAAGAGATATTCTTTGCTTGATGAGCAAATACAGACCTACTCCATTTATTGAGAAGTTCATGTTGTCCAGGGACCTCAATAGCCCCATCTTTTTTTTTGCATCCCCTCAAAAAATAAATTTAGGTGAAGTTTTAGGTAAGGAGTTGCTTTTTCATGACATGTAAAATGTTTTTCCACTAAAATAATACAATTACGCCCATAGAGTAACCTATGATTTACTTCTGAGTATTCAAAGATCTGTTACTGAACCCTATACTTTTAATCAAGATAGTTATTCGAAGTTTAAATTTTTAAACATTTGTTTCTGAGGAAGAATGGAATAGGCTTTCCAAATACATGGTACTGAGGATACAATGGGCAGAGTGGAGATGGCTCTTCATTGTAAAAGTCATCTTAAACCCTGATTGTCTCTACTTCAGTGATTGTATTAGAGGGAAACAACCTGAGACAATATCTCGGAGCATCATTCCAAGGACACACCAGGAGGAAAAATGGCCAGATCTTTCCCAGTATTCTCACTTTTGTCCTTTGTCTTGATACATTTGGTGTTATCTTCTGGTGAGTAATTTAGCTGGCCTTGGCCAGAAGTTGAAATTGATTTGTGGGATTTTACATTGTAATCTGAGAGGGAATGCTTTGAAATTGTTCTTTAACTGGAATTTTTATATATATATATATATATACACAGACACATATATACACACACACATACAAATTATCCACTGACATGTGTTGCAGTGTATATATATTTATATATATATTTATTCAGAGTATATCTACATATGTATTTATATATACACTCAGAGTATGTGACAAAATGAAGGTCTCTGCCCATTGAATCAGTCTTGTAGACTCTCTCTCTCTATATATGCACACACACATATACATATATATACACACACACACATATATACACAGCATATTCAGAGTATATGTCTACACATACTCAGAGTGTGTGTGTGTGTGTATATATATATATATATATATAGAGAGAGAGAGAGAGAGAGAGAGAGCGAGTCTAAAAGACTCTGATTCAATGGGAAGAGACCTTTGTTTTGTCATCTTTTGCATGCAGATTATGAGATTTAACTCATGAAGGCAAGGATGCTTGGGTAAGTCACTGAGGTAACATGTAAAAGTGACTAACAATATAATATGCATACATCAGAGCACATCTTGAAAATTTAGAGTGTTTGAAAATGATTTGCTGTATATTTGACTGGACCATTATCCTTTATGTTCTCTTCTAGAGGAGAAATCATGTAGGGAGTCATAAAGAGGCCTAGCCTCAAGGGCTGCAGAGCTTGCTTTTTCACATATTTACCAAGAATTCCTGAGTATTACCCAGGTGTCTTTTCACTCCTAAAAAATATGAGGATTGGGCCAAAAGATTACTTTAAAGTTACAGCATTGCTTGTTTCTTTCATACATAACCAGCTCTAAATCCTCTCAAGTCCAAACTAATCAGAAAAATTATTTAGTACTTTGGACTGCCAGCCTTTATGAAACAGTGACACATCTATATAGTCCACTGCTGATATCAATTAGGAGTAAAAGAATTATTTCACATTTTAAAAAATGAATGAGTACATGTATAAATGAAATAATGTTTTCCATTCCTGCAAGCTTCCTTGATAATAAATTAGAACTCTTTTATTCTGCCGACAGATTAAGCTATGATTTAACAGGAATTAAATTCTGTAACTATTTTCATATATTCTCTAGTTTCAGGCCCTAGACACTGGTGGCCACCACATGGAATTATTAAGGTAATCTTCCATTAAATTTCCCCCCAGGACTGACATTATAATATGACGTCTTTTTTTTGGAATTGTTACTGTGGAAACTTGATGCATCAGGGTCACCTGTAATAGTCTTTAAGGCCTGTTTGTGTGAGGGTGGTGGATACACTGCTGAAACAGCCTGGAATCAAGACAACATTCAGTCATACATATACCAGAGAACCCTCTGTAGTGCCTGAAAAATGTAGAGTATTGGCAATTGCTGGGAGCATGACAGGTTCTTAAGAGCCTATGGACTTGGGTATAACATGGTCCTGGCTCTCAAGGACCTCACAGTTTGATGGAAAGAATGACTTAAAAGAATGCTCCTGGCCCCGCGCGGTGGCTCAAGCCTGTAATCCCAGCACTTTGGGAGGCCGAGACGGGCGGATCACGAGGTCAGGAGATCGAGACCATTCTGGCGAACACGGTGAAACCCCGTCTCTACTAAAAAAATACAAAAAAACTAGCCGGGCGAGGTGGCGGGCGCCTGTAGTCCCAGCTACTCGGGAGATTGAGGCAGGAGAATGGCGTAAACTCGGGAGGTGGAGCTTGCAGTGAGCCGAGATCCGGCCACTGCACTCCAGCCTGGACGACAGAGCAAGACTCCATCTTAAAAAAAAAAACAAAAAACAAAAAACAAAAAAGAATGCTCCTAAATGTCTTGAGATGTACAGAGAATGCTTATGCAACTTGTGAATGCAGAAGGCAACTTCTGGATATGGATGGAAGAAAATGTGAAGAAACAGTAGATATCTTAACAGAGCCTCAAACTATGTTTGCAACTTGGATGAGGGCAAAATGGAGACACCTTTTGATGTCATCGATATTTGATAAGTGAGGGAAAAGATGAATGAGGGATTAAACTTTTCATTTTGATTCATATTTGCATCACTGTATTCCTTCCCTTTAGAGGTATTAGCACCTTAAGCTTTTGTCTAATTCATAAATTTTAAATTTTATTTCTTCTTTGTAAAAAAGTCAGTCATGAGTTGACTGTTGAGAAAGATATTTTGAGGGCAGCTCTACCTTCAACAGACCTGGGGATCAGAATGTGAAGCTTGTCAGAGGCTACTGCCCCAGGAAAAGGATCTGCAGAATTTGTCCAGGATTTATACTCTGGTCTCATAAAGTTCAGTTCTGGAATTTTCTTTTCCAGAAGTTTACCTGCAGGATGAGTTCGCCTCATGCCCATAAATCCATAAACAATAATAAAGGCAATCACTTTTACTTATTTTCTTTAAAAAATATTTATTAATCACCTGTGCTGTGCCCTAAGATACACTGAGGAAAGCAGTTATATTCTTTTTCCTCATGAACCTTGCAGATAGCCAAAAAGGGAAGAAACCAGCTATGATTTATGGTAAATTTTATAAATACAAGAAATAAAATGGTATGATAGAAAATATCTGTTGAGCATAGAGATAACTGCTATAAACAATGGGTTCAGGCAAGGTTTCTCTGTCATGTGGATATCTAAGGTGAGACTTGAAGGATAAAAAGGAGCCACCCAAGTGGAGAGTAGGGAGAAAGACCTTACCTACCTGGGTCACTAATTGAAGCCCTGTGTGACTGGAGCACAGACAGAATCCCACAAGGGTGGGATTCTCACCTGAAGAACGTATATCTTCCTCCAAAGAGAGAGAGAAAAAAGAAACTGTCTTTATAGACAACAATAGAAACTGTTCTTCCTCTTGTCTTTGATAAACTGTATATTCCTTCAGATTCAACTATTTTACATCTCATTTATTCATTTGGCAAATGTTCATATAGCAATGACTAATGCCAATATATGTACTGGGCACATAATGACTAGCCTAATCAGACACAAATCTTTCCCTTCTGGGCTTATAGTCCTTCGGGGGTGTGGGATTAGTTAAATAATTACACAAATGCTTTGTTACAAACTGATTAAAAGTATAAAAACAAATAACAGAGAGTTGTGACTGTATTTTAATAAATAGTTCTGAGAAAGTGGGTTATAATCTGAGCTCTAAAGATAGAGTTTAGGTTGAGAAAAAATATATTTGGTGGGGTGGTCATGACACTTCAGAAGACCTTGAGGGGAGGGAAAGATAAAGAATTTATATATATATAAAAACAACTAACAAACTTACTAAAAGGACAGAAAGCAAGGTAGTATCAGGTAAGGGCAGAAGATTTGGGAGGTTCCAGGTCACACAGGGACTCTTAGCTCATAATAAGAAATACTTTTTTATAATATGCAATGAGGTTCAACGAAAGACCTTAATCAAGGAAATAAAATTATTCAATAGAAGTTTAAAATGTGAAACTTCAGGAAATGAGGAATAAAGGAAATGGAGGGATTAGTCGGGTAACGATGGTGGCCTGGTCATGATGGTGGTGTTGGATAAAAAGAAGGAAGAGGAATTTCTAAGTTAAAATATGACCCCTTCTTTCCAAATTCCTAGCCAAAATTTTCTCCTACTTTGTGTGTGGGGTATTTTATCTGTACCAATCTTATGACACTTATGGAGCCCCTGAGAACACTAGCCTCAAGCTTCATAATCCCAGAGTCACTACTTCAATTCATCACCAGCACCGGCATTGTCCAGAGAAGAACTTCTGATGAAAACAAACATCCCTGAGTCCAGTTCCCTGAGGAGACATGTCCCTCCTTTGTTTTTGACTTTTTCTACAGTGTCAGGGCAATAAGTATTTTAAATTAAGACACGTGCATTCTTCCATTATTGATCTTCAGTTTTCTCTGCTGAGCTGTCATGGAAAATCTCTAAGAATCTTTCCAGATCTAATAGTTGGTACATAAAGAAGATTGAGAGAGAAGCCCCAGATAAATCATCTGTTTATCCACTCTTCTTCTTTTTTTTTTTTTTTAAACCGTAGCATAGTTGGCCATTGTTCTCCTTTATTGAGATGGTCCTGACAACCAGGGCATCATATTGTTACCAAATGGGATATATATAGGTTCTAGTTGGCTTTGTGGAGATGGGAAAGTGAGAGCTTTTGTGAGAGTGGAATATTGTCCTATGCTTAGAATTTTTTTTTTTTTTTTTTTAAGATGGGGTCTCACTGTGTAGCCTAGGCCGGAGTGGAATGGTGCCAGCATTGCTCACTGCAGTCAAGTGATCTTCCTACCCCATCCTTCTGAGAAGCTGGGACTACAGGCATGCACCACCATGCCTGGCTAATTAAAAAAAAATTTTTTTTTGGAGAGACAGGGTATTGCTCTGTTGCCTAAGCTGATCTTGAACTCCTGGGCTCAAGCAATCCTCCCACCTCCGTCTCCCAAAGTGTTGGAATGAAGGCATGAGTCACCATGCCTAGATTATGCTTAGATTTTCCTAGTAAAGTTCAAAGGTGATCTACCTGTCTAAGTGGGGTTCTAACTGGATAAATCTTTTCAACTCAATTTCAGGTGAAATGTCCATATGAGAAAGTAAACTTGAGTTGGTACAGTGGAACAGTCAACCCCTGCCCTGGCTTATATCAACCCATCTGTGGTACCAATTTTATAACCTATGATAATCCCTGCATCCTGTGTGTTGAGAGCTTGTGAGTACTATTTGGGGAAAAGACGGGAACTATAAATATGCTTGTCCATTAAAATTACCATCTACCGTTCCTATCAAGTACATCAACCTTGAAGCCAGGAATTTGCTCCAGTTCACACAGATAATAATCATCCCCACTCAGAAAAGCACATAGTAATTGAAAGTCCACTGGATTAGAAAGTAGACTCATTGTACCAAATGACATTCCTCAGGTCCATTCTGGTATCTGAGCCCTTACATTCCCATATACCAATTGATTGCCTTCCACTTGAGAAACTCTCAAATATGCCTTCAGGTCCTGAATTATTTTTTATTTTAAGACAAATTGTAATTTTGCTTTCTCTTAAATATCTTCACCCTCTTATGTGTTTGAAACTCTGAACTACAATGATGAGTTAATTGCAAAGTTTGGATCTTTTATCTGAGACAGTGTTTAGATTTTTGGATTTATGTGACATAAATCAGTGATTAGATACTGAAATCTTACAATACAATGCTTTCAGCTTTGATTCCTATATGAGTGACTGCATTTCACAGAGAGAAAAATTTTCACCATGGCATCAGATTGGAGCCCTCAGCCCAATCATTTTTTAAATTTTGTGCAAGGAACAATGGCAGGACTGTGCAAAGCTCAAGTCATCCCCATTAATGAGTAATTCAGCCAAAGTGTAAGAGTATATTAACAGAATAGTTGAGAATTGATATGTCTCACACATCACAAACTCAGACTTGATTGCACAGCTTAATTTCAAAAAGAGTGTAGCATGTGTCATATCTCCAGTGGCATCTTAGAATCATGGAATGATAACTAGGTAAGAAATCCAATAATTTTGTCTTTTGTCATTAGTCAATTCCCTTTATATTCTAGATCTTAGTTTTTCCAAATATAAAACCAGGTTTTAAATAAGATAATTTCAAAGGTATTTTTGTAGTTCTGACATTGTATTACTTAATGAAATGTTTGTTCTGATACTTCCTTTAGGAAATCTCATGGAAGAATCAGGTTTTACCATGATGGAAAATGTTAGCTGCATGGCCTTGAATGTGGAAGATATCTTCTTTTTTTTCCCTCCATGTCTCCAATCTCCCTCTTGCACTTTTTACATCTCCTTGCATTTGTTCTTGACAACAAAGAGCTATCACTATTGAGCTTGTAGCAGATTGTTTAAAGTTCCTTCCATGGACCTCTCCCCTCACTGATTGATTGCCTTCCATAGTCTCCCTAATAAATAAACTTTTATGAAAGTTTGATTTGACTTGGGTGTCAGAGCTAGGTCTAAAAATCTCAGAAGTAGAAGAAATTCAGAATTTGAGTCATGGGTCAAAGGCAAATATTGAGATTAATCATCTCTCTAATGCTAATAACACTGAATTAGTCTATGTCAAGCCTCCGGATTGTCTTCCAAAGAACGTGGCAGAAATTTCTTCCATATTCCTTTGGCATTTAAAAAAAAACAAAAAAACAAGTAATGGAACTACAGGACATTGTATTCTGCTTGTAGGATTCCTGTTGCCTAACTTCTGCAAACTCATCATTAAACATCCTCCCTTTTGGACTCAGCCTTGAGACAGAGGTATTTACACATGTGCAGCTTTGATCAACAGGGCCCAACATTCTCACTAATCCATTTTGCCTAGAAGAACACCTACATTGTTGGTATCTGTAAATGTCCCATTGGTCATTAGCCTTTTTCTTAAATTCTCTGGACACATCTTAACCCCTAAAGCATATAGGGACACCTTTTTCTCTGTTATACTTCATATGTATTTTTTACATCTGTATGTACAGCAGACGAATAATATGCACTAATGTGCTCTCTTCCCTTCAGAACTTTGCTCCCTACTGGCTTGGGAAAGAGCAGCTATTCTGCCTTTCACTACCTTGCAGGGCTGTGGTCAGAGTGTGTACATGTTCTGTTAGATCTTTGATCTTACGTCCCATGCTGATCACAAGATGAATACATGGCTCCAGTGAGAAGGAAACAATCACTTTTCCTGTGTCATATTTACAGTTAATATCTCTGGGAAAAACTAGGTATTCTCTAGCTTTATAGCATGCCAATTTCCATTGCTCCTAGACCTGAGCTCTGCAAGAACACCAAGAACTTCAGGGATCCTGGGAGGATTGTTTTCTAACATTATTGCTGTATCTTTGTTGACAAATCTTTTCTTCTGCAATAATTAATTTGCTGTTAATGTCATCACGCGAACTCTTAAAAATCTCAAATAGGCACTTTTAATAGCCTTGCATGAGATCTGAGCTCTGTTATCTCTAATCCTCTCTAATGACTCTCTCCTTGCTTTGGGTAGTTTCTTCACGCACAAGCACCAATTATTAACCTTCTGATCCCTTTATCCAGCTCTCCTGTGCAGTAGTCCTGCAGATACCAGCCAGTTTAGTCTCTATTTCTTTTCAGCTCTGTGCCCTCAACCCATAATTGCTTCATTGAGATTGCTCTTTCTGATTTCTAGAATCTCTTGCATTGCAAAAACCAAGGCCAACTATAGAGTTTAACTTATTTATTTTCCATCTGTTAGGGATCTGTCCTTCAGTGCCTGGTGTCCTAGTGTCATTGTTTTACGTATTTTGTCTATTTTTGTTGTTTCAGGTAGGATAATATATCTTATCTGGTTTTTCTTGCATCATATTGTTTGAAAGTAGAAGTTGACTTTATCTTTTAGCATGCCATTGTACTTATTTTTTGTACTTCTTTTTTCTATGATACCTCCTAAAGTCTAGACTAGAATACATTGTCATTATTCTACTTTTTCTAAGAACTCCAATGGATGAGATTTGTGCTCTATAATGCTGCAAATCTTTTTAGTGGATAAGAAAGCACTGACTTAAACTGTCAATGAATAACAGTAAAAAGATCAGTAAAAATAATATATTTTTCTGTCATTTGATAGTAGGCATTCCCAAAGAAGTGAAGGAGATCAGCATACATCTAAATGCAAGATGGCCTCCTTTTCATGCAACCCCTAAGGATAATTTTCACAGGTCTCTTATGACTGCTAACGTAAAAGGAACGTTCCCCTTTTGTGGTCCTAGCTCTGACAGTCACTGCCTGTGCTCTCATTCTTTCTCTCTCTCTCTCTCCCTTTGTCTTTGGCAGGTGACTTCAAATTCCTCCCTCTGATTCCCTGTATATTTTATCCTTTGGTTATTGATTAGCCCTAGGTTTTAGTCATTGCCATCTTCCAGCCCACCCTGCTTCCTCTGCATGACAAACCCACTCACATCTGTATTACTCTGTTGCCTATATACGTATAACTCACTTACCCACGTCATGAGACTGTACCCACATTCTTAGCATCAGACACTGGACATCTTTACACACACACACACACACACACACGCAATTTAATGAGTTTGGACATATGCATACAACCTTGAAAGCATCGTCACAATCAAGGCAGTAGACATATCTATCACCTCTAAAAATTTTCTTTTGACTCTTTGTTTTTATTACTGCTGCTGTTGTTGTTATTGTAAGAAAAAGTAACGAGACCTACCCTCAATCAATTTTTAAGTGCACAACACCGGATTGTTAACTATGGGCACTATGTCATATACCAGATCCTCAGAACTTATTCTTATGTAATCAAAATTTTAAAACCATGAACAACAACTCCCCATTTCTCCCTCCCCCCAGTCCCCGGAAACTATTATTTTATTCTCTGTTTCTATGAAATTTACTATTTTAGATTTTTATTTTACTTTAAGTTCTGGGATACACATGCATAATGTGCAGGTTTGTTACATAGGTATACATGTGTCATGGTGGTCTGCTGCACCTATCAAGCCATCATCTAGGTTTTAAGACCCGCATGCATTAGATATTTGTCCTAATGCTCTCCCTCCCCTTGCCCCTCACCCCGCAACTGCCCCAGTGTGTGTTGTTCCTCTCTCTGTGTACACATGTACTCATTGTTCAACTCCCACTTATGAGTGAGAACACGTGGTGCTTGACTTTCTGTTTCTGTGTTAGTTTGCTGAAGATGATGGCTTCCAGCTTCATCCATGTCCCTTCAAATGGCAGATTGAATTCATTTTTATGGCTGCATAATATTCCATGGTATATGTGTCCCACATTTTCTTTATCCAGTCTATCACTGATGGGCATTTGAGCTCATTCCAAGTCTTTACTATTGTGAATATTGCTGCAATAAACATACATGTGCATGTGTCTTTATGGCAGAATGATTTATAGTCCTTTGGGTATATACCCAGTAATGGGATTGCTGGGTCAAATGATATTTCTGGTTCTAGATACTTGAGGAATCACTACACCGTCTTCCACAATGGTTGAACTAATTTACATTCCCGCCCACAGTGTAAAAGAGTTTCTATTTCTCCACAGCCTCACCAGCATCTATTGTTTCCTGACTTTTTAATAATCACCATTCTGATTGGCATAAGATGGTATTTCACTGTGGTTTAGAATTGCATTTCTCTAATGATCAGTGCTCATGAGCTTTTTTTCATGTTTGTTGGCCTCATAAATGTCTTCTTTGAGGAGCAGACGCTGGACATCTTAATTTCACTGGCTCTTGTGGAATCTTGAAAGTCAATTTATCTAATATGGATCCTATGTTTTTCTAAATTTGCTTCTACACATGTTTTGATGCAATGAAAATTAATGCTCTTATTCTCTCTAAGCCCCTTTTCACTCAAACTCAATTTTAATATACTGTAAATACATATTCCTTATGTTAGCTTACATATTGATCAAACCCATAAACATTTATTTAATTAAAGTCATCTTGTTTTAATATTATTTTACTATTCGTCTTAACTGTTATCTCAGGTTCCATTCTATTCTTCTGACCGTAATTTTCCATTTAAATATTACCTGTTAAAAATCACTATCCTTGGTTAGTTATAATAGAAATAAACATCTTAGTATGACATACAAGACACTTTATTTCATCTGCAAAAGACACTCTCTAAGCCCAAGTTCAACTGTAATGAACTCTTGTTAGGACTTGTAGCAAACCCTATTTGCTCATAAGGTGGCAGTAAAGCATTGCTCTTTAGACCAACAACTTTGACAATACTTTTGGTCAACTTGTCATATAACAGTATGATTTTGGGAAAACTGCTATCTCTCTATGAGCTGCAGATTTCTCGTCATCTAATGTGATAATATCCTTCTCCCCAGGAAGATTAAACCTCCTAACATAATCCAGCCTTGACGTTTATTCAGGTTCCACATTGGATGAGAGTACTGGGAAATGTTTCTAACTAATAGAATATTTGCAACTAACGAATGGACTAAATATTACTCTTCTAATCCTATGGAGTTTTTTTTTTTCTTTCTGATTGGATTATTTTTAGCCTGAGAAAGTTAATTCAGAGAGACAGACTTGTGTAAACTGTTTTCCATGTATTTTCCGAGCAAAAATTTGGAATGAGTTAGATATGGGCCTATGTAGGCTGCCAGAAAGTCATTATTATTTAAAATAACACGAAAACAAAGAGACAAATCTATACCACAGTTAATTTTCTTTAATTTAAAATTTATTGATTAATTATTATTGTTATTTTCAACAAATCATAATTGTGTACACTTTCGGGGTATAATGTGATGTTTTGTTATATGTATGGAAAGTAGAATGATTAAATCTGTCTAATTCACATATCCATCACTTCACTTATTTTTTTGTGGTGTGACGTTGCAAATTTACTTTCTTAGCTATTTTTAAATAGCTAACATGTTTTTATTAACTATAGTCATCCTTCTGTGCAGTGAATTTTATAAGTCTATTATTTTGTGTAACCGAAACTTTCTACAATTTGATAAACACCTCCTCATTCCTTCCTCCCCACTCCTACTTCTAGCTTCTGGTAACCAGCATACTACTCTCTACTTCTACTTCTAAGAACTTGACCTTTTAACATTCTGCACTTAAGTGTGAGTATGTGGTGAAAGTGGGCATCTCTGTCCTTTTCCCTATCTCAGAGGAAAAGCTTTCAGCTTTTCACCAGTAAGTATGATGTTAGCTGTGGGCTTGGCATATATGCCATAACTGTGTTTAGGTACATTTCTTCTTTTTTTTTTAATTTTTTTAATTTTTTTATTTTTTTGAGACGCATCGCTGTGTCACCCAGGTGGAGTGCGGGGCCGGATCTCAGCTCACTGCAGCTCCGCCCCCGTTTTTACGCCATTCTCCTGCCTCAGCCTCCCGAGTAGCCGGACTACAGGCGCCCGCCACCTCGCCGGCTAGTTTTTTTTGTATTTTT